ACCTTGAAGAAGAACCCTCTGAAAACAAAATATTGTTGTCCTGTGAAAATTGTCGATCTCTGCAATTCATACGTGCGGTTGTTGTCAATATTTGACCGTTTCATGATGTATGGTCTTTGGCGGTAGCCATTTTTCAGATTATGAAGATGACCAAGGACATGATCAAATTCAGCAAAGGTTCATGGCCACTAACGAACACCAAGATATCTTTACTTTGCGCGTGTCAAATTTCAATGTGCAAATGGTTTACATCCCTCTTTCGGACTCTTCAACACAGACATATTAGTCAAACGCTTCTTGAGCACATTTTTTGCATTAATTGGGAATCGCAACCTGCAAAGCACATCACGCACATTATTTAAGTCACAGCTCATGCATATGTTTACTTTGTGCCACCTTGCGAAACTGCCAGCGAATTAGGTTGGTACTTTAGAATTGTTGAATCATTAAAACCAGTTGTTTTCTCAAAGAAAAAGTTTATACCGGGAGCACCCTCAGTGAATACGACGCATGAGAGTGAAAAAAATCAGGACTGCCGACCTAATTTAATTTGCTGATGCCACGCCATGAGACGCGGCGACCAAAGGCCGCCAGAGCCAAAAGAGCCACCGAGGAGACCAAAGGCAGTGGAACCAGATGCCCGCCAGAGCCAGTCACCAACATGTACTGGCAGCGAGGAAAGCCAGCGCCGGTAGGCATGACGTGGACCCCACTGATGAGCCAGCTGGCCGGAGGTGATTCTGAAGGAAAAGGAGGAGAAAAAGGAAACGTGGAAGGGGGGAACGACGGAGAAAGAGAACGAGGAGGCAAAGATGGAAAACGAAAAAGAGAAGAGAAAGATGGAAAAGGAAAAGGAGGGACAGCTGGAAGAGGAAAGGGTGGAGCCTACCAACCACCGGGCACACCTCCAGTGGACTATGCAGAAATGGCTGCAGAAGCTCTTCGAAGGCTGAGTGAGATGGCAGAAGCCGAACGAAGGTTGATGGCTTCAGTCCGACGCATGCCACCTCCGTTTCGAGCCGCCGTTGCAAGCTGCCCTACAACAGCAACCAACAACAGCAGCAACGGCAACCGCGAAGCAACGGCAACGGCAACGCCAGCAGCAACGGCAACTGCGAGACCAAGCCCTACACCAGCAGCAATGGCAACGGCAAGACTAAGCCCTACAGCAGCAGCAACGGCAAACACGAGACCAAGCCCTACACCAGCATCAACGGCAACCGCGAGACCAAGCCCTACGCCAGCAGCAATGGCAACGGCAAGACTAAGCCCTACAGCAGCAGCAACGGCAACCACGAGACCAAGCCCTACACCAGCAGCAACGGCAACCGCGAGACCAAGCCCTACACAAGCAGCAACGGCAACCACGAAGCCGCCTACGGGAACCGCGAATCCACCGAATCCAGCAAGGTCCGTTGCTTCTCGCGAGGACTGCAACAACATTTTTCGTTCATTGCCATCGAAAAAACATGTTTCCATTTTTTTGAGCAACTAAATTTCAACCAAAACACATGCAAAAGGTTTTTAATTGACATGTTGACATCCTAGTTTAAAAAGGCCTACAGTGTCTGACCCATGTTCAGGAGAGTATCGCTGCTGGTTTTCAAGAAGTGTCGCAGAGTCCGGACTACTACGACAAGCTGATCGAGGCAGCCACCATCACCCTCACCCTCACCCTCACCATCACTATCATCATCATCATCATCATCATCATCGTCGTCATCGTCATCGTCATCGTCATCATCATCATCATCATCACCATCATCATCGTTATTATTGCTGTTGAACCAAAAATCACGGCAGGAGATTCTTGGGCCGGACGTTCAAAAGAAAAAGAAAAAGAAAAAGAAGTCAGAGAAGACCTCCCCGGCAAAGGACCAGGCAGTCAAAATGGTGAATGATAACCAGAGTTTTCCATTTTATAATATCGCCAGGTTCAGTTTTACTTTGATTCAGCAAGGCCCAAGAAACGAAATTTTCCATTCAAACGCACGGCAAGCATGCAGCGCATGGATCGTTGCGCAATGCGCTAGACAAGTTGAGCACTGAAAAAAACTATCCATGTTGACGCCAACCACCTATAGTAGCCCAACTAATACTCCGGAGGAAGATGAGAGCAGGAAGAGCATGGCTTCAAAGCCAAAACTGAAAGCGAAGAAGGCAGGGCCGGGGCAATATAAATAAGCATACTTTGGGCAGCGGAGATGTGTCCACGATACTTAACATGAGGGTCGGGTCGTTGACACTGTCAGGAAAAGAGATCATCGAGTCCCGAGCGTAAGATCAAAAAAATCATCAGGCACTGCAGTGTCTGGAAACGGTGGGATACACGCACCCTGCTTATAACAAGATTTCCCTTGAAAGGGGTCCTCAGGGTGAATGGCGTCCTGGGCGCCTTTCACCCCGAGGACCCCTTTCAAAGAAAATTGTAAAATTGTGTTTTTATTCCTATAGTGAAAACATGTCAGTCTTCGCTGATTTGACTGCCAACACTTGTCAGGAGAAAAACCCACCAAAGAAATGGAAAGGGCGCAAGGACAATAATCCGCAGGGGTTGGCAAAAACTGCTTAAAACCTGCGTAAGGAGTGCTGAAGAAACACTGTCAAGCACTGTCATAACGCACACTACATTAAGTTCCTAAAAGCTCGATTCTATTCCATGTCTTTGTCACTGCCGCTTCCCAGGACTGAACCCAATGAGGCTCGGCGATTGGCAGGGCGCGAGGTGCAAAAAAAATACGCTGCAGCGAGACTATAGTGAACAGTTGCATTTGGAACTGGTAAAACGATTAGAGATTTGCGTTGAGCACCAATGAATTCAAACAAGAGTTCCGCCCAAGTTTCGTGAATCACTTGTCTTCCTTGCAGTTGTTCTTGTTGACTACTTGTTCGGCTGAGGAACAGTCCAACTTCACTTCTGGAACTGGGTTGTATTGGCCTTGGTTGCAACGCTGAAATGCGTGTCAAACGCTGAAAAATGCGTCAGAAGGAATAGGCATGTCCTAATTGAAGGTCTCACACTTCGATATACAGATCGAAAGTATCAGTACCATGAATTGGGTTGAGCATTGTTGACAGTCATTATAGTGCATTTGCAATTTATCGATCATACTGCCTCCTGTCATGCAGTCTTGTATGTTTGCTGATTTAGGGGGTTCACCAGTGCCAAAAAGAAACAGATCTCAACACTGAATCAACATGTGTCAAATCCTGGGGCCCCCAGGCATTGCATACAGGCATTGATCTTACCTTCGGACAGGTGTTGCTTCAACATTTTTTTATCGGGGTAGGGTGCTCTTAGAATAATATATATATATATATACATATTATATTGTCTAACATATTTTGACGACCTGGTGCAGGATGACTCGAATGCTTTGCAGCACTACCCACATATTTCAGTGGGGTGGGATTGGATGGCAAATACCAACACTTTCCAAAGTGCGACATTCCGCATGTTTCAGCGGGGAAACCGCATTTTTCAGCGGCCTTTGCCACTCAATCCCACTGACTTGCTGATCCATTTTTTTTGATATAAAGTTCCTAAGTTTGATGGCTATAGATTTGTTTCCCAACACAACTGCATCTCTCTGCATTTACATATATAATATATCAGAATGGATCAACAAATCCAGGTGCATTTCAGCACCTGCCACTCCCATAATTTAGCAAGAACGACAAAAAACTCGTCCTGGTTGACCGCATGTTTCAGCGGCTTTGCGCATGTTTCAGCGCTACCAGATCACTCATGGTGATTTGGTTGGACGAAGTTTTTTGCCCTTCTTGCCAAATTATCTGAAGCAATGCCCAGAGTCAGCCAAGCGTTGATGAAACCAAACTCACCTGAGTGCAAGGCAATGAAATCGAAACCTGAGAAAGTACAAAAACTTAAACAAATTTCATATTGAGAATGATTTGGTTCTTGGTTTTCATAGTAGAGGATTGTAATTCTAAACTGAACATGTTTAACAGACAACTAAGACTACGCAGGATCCAAAAATCGTTCTAAGAAAAGTATGTTTAATGTTTTCAAGTTTCAACATGTTTGCAACGTTGTCACCCCAAGTTGAACTGAGAATCTGACAGAAGTACCGCCTTCAGCACTGTGCCATGAAATGCATTGAACCTGCAGTGAACCATCCTGTGTATGTCATATATCATATATCATGATTTCATTTCTGATTTAGCATCATTTATTGGGATGAAATTCAACTAGCATCACTCTGTGAAAATTCATTGCTGTATTTTTTGAATGTGGATTCTTTTTTGCGCCGCCCTGCCCCCCCTGTCCTATCTGAGAATCTGACACAAGCATGGATGGGTGCGAACATGGAAAAACTATGGTTTGAGCCTTGCGCATGTTTCAGCGCTTCAGCGCATATTTCAGCGCTTTATGCATCAACATTCAGTGCCTCCAGCAAAAAATGGATATGGTTACTGATCATGAAACACAATGATATGAAGGGAAAAAAGTACAAAATAGGTCGCTTGTAAAGTTCAAAACACAAGCATCCAAAAGCTAAAACCAAAACAAATGATGTATCATTCGTTTTACAAATTAAATTTCCAAAGGCTTATTTTTTTGCCTGGCATCCAAAAGTTAAAACCAAAACAAATGATGTATCATCCGTTTTCCAAAAATAAATTTCCAAAGGCTTAATTTTTGCCTGGGTTGTTTTGAGTCATGCAAGAAATGATTTCTTTTAATTTTGTTTTTTTTCTGACCACAGTTTCTAGTTTCATCATTTTTCCATATTTTTCCCCTCTTCTGTTCCCAGATATCTTCTGACATTTTTTTTCCCCTCTGCTGTTCCCAGATAGCTTCTGACATATTTGCTAATACATTTTTCTGGGTTTCTGGCCTTCGATCTGGCATCTATTCTGACATTTTTTTGCGGTCCGCAGCCCATTGAACAAGGCTCGCCTGGATGAAAGGTAGGCTACAAAATGGCCACCAAACTTACCAGCTAACACCTTAACACCGTCTGTGTGCAAGCAAGAAGTACAAGCATGGGACTTCTCGCCTGGCCGACCTTGACTTGGAGAACAAGCCTACGTTTGGTTTTGGAAATTCATCAAAGAACCAGTGCGTGTCCACAGCCTCACTCGAGGTTCAAGCCGATGGCAAACCTGGACAAGTACAAGTACATGCGTTGGATGCTCCCGACCTGTGCTGTTCTCCATTGAGTCCTTACGGGCCTTGGGAGCAATCATCGACTTCTCCGAGGACATGGTCGTCTTCCGCAAGATCAACCCGTCCAAGATCATCAAGATGGAACGTTCGGCCACTGGCCATCAGCTGCTGCCCATGACTCAGGATTGGTACAGTGATGCTCAGAGCACTGCACAGCCAGTGCCGAGCCTGAATGCTTTCCTGTAGGGACAACTCCTTTCTTTCCGTGCGCCTGAGATGGAAAGGAAGGTCAGTAGCGATGTTTCAGGCACTTTTCACAACCCCTTGAACACGGTTGGTGATCCGAGCATTCATGATGATGTTGGGTGTGTTGTTCATGACCATGTGGTTGTTGATGATGAAAAACTTTCCCAGGGTTTCCATGGACATGTTGGAAAAATCTCAGACAGCAGTCAGTGTACAGAGCAAGAACAACCTCCTCCTGCAGCTCTCCAGCACAAGCTAGACGAGATCCCCAACGAGTCAGTGAACAAGAGCCATGCCTCGTGCCACCAGAAAGGAATTGGTGGAAGAGCTCCTGATGACCTTTGGCGAAACAGCTCCAAAACAGTGGAGCATCATGGAGATCGAGAGTCGCCTTTTGGAACTCAAGGAAGCCAACGGGATGACCACTCAGAAAGGGAAGGTACGGCCACCGATGCGCCATGCCATGATCGAGCTGAACAAGGCCAGCAAGAAGAAGTCCGACCTTGTGGACTACGTGAACAACAAGCTCATGGTGAAGACCCGTGGCACCGAGACCATTCAGGAGCTGCAGCGCTTGGGCACCAAGAAGATCTACCAGACCACAGCCGCCTCTCCGGAGAATCCTGTGGGGTTCGGGGAACACTGCAGTCTGCAGTACCACGAGCTTCTAGCCCAACACCCACAGTATGCCAGCTGGGTCGTGAAGACCGCCAACGAGGGGGAATGCGACTACCGCCTGGCCCGTCTGGCCAATTGGCTCCAGAGCCCAGAGGCACAGCATCCGATGCCGACCTACAAGCAGACCTCCAGCGGCTACAAGAACACATCGACGCCGGCCAGCGGCTCGAATGGCAAGACCGAGAACATGATGATGCAGATGATGCAGATGATGCACGCCCTCAAGGAGGACGTGGACAATCTGAAAGCCGAGAGGCCTCACAAGAAGGTCGAAGCATCCAGTGTCTCCGAGATGACAGAGTCATCCACAGGCTCTTTCGTGCCGATCCCACAGTAGCTTCAGCTGGGAGTGTAGAAAACCTTAATTTGTCACAGACGGGAATGCAGGTCGACAGTGAGCTCTGGAGGGGCTCATGGGAAGCCTTACCTGAGCAAAAAGTAAGACACTTGTCCCATTGCAGTGACAGATTGATTTCGAATGCCTTTGAGGCCCTGCTATCACACCAGCGCATAGAGCTGCTGGAAGTGGCATGTTCGGCCGACAGCGTGCTGTCTCGCACCATGCAACAAAAGAAAGGTGACGAGGGTGCGGCCCGACGCTGCTCACTTTTCAATGAGTATGATTTAGGAACCAACCAGGGGATTCACAAAGTCATTCAAGATATTGACCATTATAAACCAAAACATGTTTGGCTTTCTCCGGTTTGTGGACCTTTTTCAGTGATGCAAAACATCAATCAGAGAAGTGAAGCTCAGAAGGAGGCCCTTTCTGAGAAGCGCAAAGCTGCCATGAAACAGTATGTCGGTTGCAGTGTCATATATACGTACTGTATTCAGCATGGTATACATGTCACTTGGGAATGGTCACAATCATGTCAGGCATGGAGGCTTCCAATGATGCAGGAACTGGTGAAGAAACATAATCCATGGTTTGCTGTGGTACGGGGTTGTCGTGTTGGTCTTGTTGATGATGAGAAAAACCCAATTTCGAAAGGCTGGAAACTCATGACCACTCATGCTTTGTTGGCAAAAAGGATGAACATGCCATGTAGCTGTGGGCCTCACCAGAAACATGTGAAGTGCGAGGGTTCCCTTACCAACAAAACTGCCTATTACACCCCCGAGTTTGCCCGAAGGGTCTGTGATGCGTTGATTCATGGAGCGGAAGATGAAGACCTAAAAAGGGAGTTTGTGGGAGACCACCAAATTGGGGAAACTTTTGGTAATGGGATCAGTTGCAGTTGTCACCACATTCATGATTCTCAACATGGTTTTGTTTGCGGTTCATGTGTTCATGATGAGCATGAAAGAATCAAGGGAACCAATCATGGGAAGTGTGACAGTAAGGGAAACCACGAAGTTCTGGTTGGGGAAGATAACCAACAAAGGGGTCAGGGTCTGACTAGTGAAGAAATAAGAAAACGACTGTACCTCTTACATGCTGCCACTGGCCACGGGCCAACCAGACACCTGGTGCAAGCCCTGCGACGCAGGGGAGTGTCAGAGGATGTGCTCAGGGAAGCCGAACGTTTTGAGTGTTCAGTTTGTAAGGAACGGGGTAGACCGAAGCCACGACCTTTAGCCACCTTGGAGCCTCACCCCCCAAAATGGGCGTCTGTGTCAGGGGATATTGGCCACTGGGAACACCCACAAACTAAGGAGTCCTATCAATTTTTGATGTTCGTTGATGAGGGATGCCGTTTTCGTGTTGGAAAAATTGTTCTTACGGGGAAAAGAAGTCACCTTACTGCCAATCAGTTTGTTGAAACGTTTGGGGAACACTGGGTTCAGTATTTTGGTTTTCCTAATCAACTCAGGGTTGATCCGGATGGTAGCTTCAGGAGTCATGTGGTTCAAGAATACTGTGATAGGCACCAAATAATGTTGGACATTATTCCGGGTGAAGCTCACTGGAAGGTGGGCATTTGTGAACAGGCTATTCAGGGTACCAAGACTCTCATGAACAAAATAGCTGAAGATGACCCAGAAGTCACCGCAGCAGAAGCTCTGGCTGAAGCCACTAGGACCTTTAATAGCCGAGAACTGATCCGAGGCTATTCGCCCATCCAACATGCCCTTGGCCGCGCGCCTGATGCCACCGGGCGACTTTTCCCTTGCGGCCCAAGTGAATGTCCAGAGCTGCTGGTAGAGAACGCCTCTGGTGAGATGGATCGCCAGCTCCAGCGAATGCAAAGTGCGGAAAAGGCCTTCCTTGAATGGACGGCAAGCCAGAGACTCCAAAAAGCCAAGAACTCAAAACCCAGAGATGTCACCAACTATGAGCCAGGAGACCTAGTGTATGTGTGGAGAAAGCAAGTGAGCAGCCAAGCAGCCATTAAAGGTGGCTCGTTTGTGGGGCCAGCCCGCATCCTGGCGGTGGAGCAACATCGCTCTCCCGACGGGACCCACAAGCAGGGCAGCTCAATTTGGTGCGTCAGAGGGAGAAGACTTCTCAAGTGCTCCCCAGAGCAACTACGTCGAGCCTCCGAGCGGGAGGTCCTCTTAGAGGAACTACATGCCAAACAATACGATGACTGGGACTTTGATAGAGTAGCTCAACAACTTGGAGGGAACGAGTTTCTGGACGTGTCCACCGAAGTACCCTCTTATGCAGAATGGCTACGAGCTCAAGATCCAGTCCAAGAATGGCAACCAATGAGAAGATGTGCAAGAAAACGAGGCCCCATGGTAGATGAGAAGAGTGGCATGGGACCGGCTCCTCCAACATCCAGGCCAACAGGGCGATCCAGGAGTCCAACTTCCAGGTCTACGCCTTCTACATCCTCAGGAGCACCCGTGTCACAGAGGCCTCGAATGAGTGCCCAACAAGGCATGGCTGCTGCCCCACCATGGTGGAACCAGTCAAGTATCCAGGAAGTGTTCGCAGTCACCGAGTGCACCTTCTGGATGGATGAGACCGCGGCCGTGGCCGTGGAGGTTCCCATGCCAGACACACGTGCTGGATCTGAACGAGCTCTTCGAGATCTCCCTTCTTATTTTGCCAGTAGCTTGAAGAAACGGTCAGCAGTTGAAGTCTGTGAGCGTCACCTATCTGAGGAAGAGCGACAACAGTTCCGATCTGCAAAGGCCGTTGAAGTGAGTAACTTCATAGCTGCCAAGGCTTTTGAAGCCCTTCCAGAGAAACTTCGCCCAGCACGCGAACAAGCAGTGAAGATGCGTTGGATACTGACATGGAAGCAGAAGGAGGATGGCAGCCGAAAGGCGAAAGCCAGAGCCGTCCTCTTAGGATACCAAGATCCATGCTATGAACAGAGAGCAACGACTTCTCCAACCACGACTCGCCAGACCAGGCAACTGCAGATGCAATTAGCCGCTTCATATCGCCACAAGATGCGAAAAGGTGATGTGACAGGTGCTTTCCTGCAAAGCAGGCCATACCCTGATGACCTTTTTTGTATACCATGCCCAGAGATCTGTGAAAGGATGGGACTCCCAGCAGAGTCAATCACCAAAGTGAAGAAAGCCTGCTATGGCTTAGTTGATGCGCCACTGGAATGGTATCGTTCCATTTCCGATTTCTTTGCAAAACTCGGATTGCAAAAATGCTGGAGTGACGCATGCTGCTGGGTTTATGTGGTTGATGGGGTTACCAAAGGGATTATTTCTGGTCATGTTGATGATTTCCTTTTTAGTGGGGATGAAACACATGAGGGTTGGTGTACTGTTCTCAAGAGTATCCAAACGGAATATAAATGGGGAGATTGGGAAGAAAAAAGGTTTACCCAATGCGGAGTTCAAGTGGAACAACATGAAGATTTTTCTTTTTCGTTGTCACAACCGAAGTATGTTGAAGACTTGAAATATATTAACCTGAGAGCCTTCAGGAAGAAAGACCGAAATGCACCCACTGAGGAGTCTGAGAAAACACAGCTTAGGGCCTTGCTGGGAGGGGTCTCATGGCACGCACAACAAGTTGCGCCCCACTTCAGTGCTGAAGTTGGCTTGCTGTTGTCAGAGGTGAACAAGAGTACTATAGAGACCATTTACAAGGCTAACAGGTTACTTGACAAAGTCAAAGACATGAAAGAACACTGCATGAAGGTACATGCCATAGAACCACACATGTTGTCACTGTTTGCATGGGTAGATGCCGCCTCTCAGAACCGCGTAGATGGCTCAAGCACACAAGGCATTATAGTTGGAATTTCATCTCACCGGTTACGTCATGGCAGCTGTGAGCCAGTCACCTTTGTCGCCTGGCATTCGCAGAAGATTGGCAGGATCTGCCGCAGCCCCGGAGCAGCAGAAGCAGCAGCAGCAAACAACGGAGAAGATCTCCTCTTTTTTGCGAGATTCCAACTGGCAGAAATGATGGGAGCTCAGGTCAATGTGAGAGACATCAACAGTGTCGTCAACCAGATCAGTGGATGCCTGGTTACTGACTCCAGGAATGTGTACGACAAGTTAGAGACCGAGGTCTTGTCCGTGAAGGGCGCTGAGAAGAGAACAGACCTGGAGTTACTCTCCTTGAAATATGCCCAGATTCGCAATGCTGTGGAGATTAGATGGGTTCATAGTGAAGCTCAGCTATCAAACGGGCTGACCAAGAGCAACGAGCACAAGCAACTGCACCTGTTCTACCGCATGGGCCACAAGTGGCGCATAGTCGAAGATGAAGAAAGAGCGTCAGCTCGGAAAAGGAAGCTGCTAGGCCTGGAGCCTCTTGAAAACAGAAAGAGTCAAGGGCCAGAAACCGAGCCGGAGACACCATGGAAACCCACGGAATGATTTTCGTCTTGTTTGGTTTTTCTTTGTCTTGGTTTTGGTTTTGGAGAAAAAGTTCAAGGGGTAGCATCACTATCTCATAAGGAGAAAGAAGATGCGGGGGGCATGCTGTTTTTACCACAGCACTCATAGGCGTTGACATGCCTATTCCGTGAAGTATTGGCTGAAAAGAGCCGCGGAGCGAGATTCATGAGGCGTTGAACACCCCTCCTTGTCCAATCGATTCCAGTGACTCTTCATATCCTACTTGAGCACTTCTACCGCTTGCATATAATATATATAAATAATATATATATATATATATAATATATATATATATATTACATAACCATATATCATCATATATCGACACATATATATATATATATATATGTACCTTGAAAACCATAATTCCATTCTTTTGGTCAAACGGCCTTGACCATTTGTTTGTCATTACGGCTTTGATCGTCTAGAGCCACTTGTGTGAGTTGCTACGGGTAGGCTTGTGTGAGAGCTGCTACGGCTTTCTTTTACATTTTTTGTTCAACAAAATATCGCAAAAATACGGTCTTGCTACGGGTAGGACTGCGATGTTCTTTTGATTTGAGCATTGTTGGTGTCATTACGGGAAAAAAAACAAACAAAAATAATCATTACGGTTTTTTCCAACAATGACCAGAATTGTTTGTGTTTTTGGCTTTCCAGGTATGTATATATATATATCGCATATACAATCATATATCGCATATATAACCCATGAACATGTTAATGCTTATAAAATAAAAAAATAGTGATATAAGCGTCCCATCTAGAGTGATACGGCTACGAATCACTTGGGGTCACCCAAAGAAGATCAATCAAGCAATACGGACACAAATAATGTGTTCTATGATATTCTATGTATATAGCAATGTTTATCCCAAAATTACCCAATGTACGTATCTCATATCCGTATATATCCGCTACGAATGAATTGCTGCCTCAGGTTTGACTTACTTCAGGTGGTTGTTCAACCCATCCAGAAACTATGAATGATTAGTGGATTGGGCTCCTCATCACAGGGATGGAAACAAACATCGTTGACCAATGTTGACTAACACTTACCCTCCGGTGTGCTCAAACATGGCTTGCTGGAAAACCCCACAGTTAATTCGATGATTTTCCGAGCTAGAAAGCTGCATTTACTTCTGGGATTTTCCATAATTTTCCATTGCCACGATTCACGACCGGAGGGTTTATAGAGCCAACGTTCCCTTCTTCATGACTTGCACCAAGTGGCATGCAGCGCAAATCAGGCGACGTGAAATCGACGCCAGCACATCCAGGAAACAGAGCCCCTGAAGCAAAAGGGGCTTACCAAACCTCCACATTTTAAGATGTTTTAAACGCATTCTCTACCCAAATTGTGTTAGCAAATCCTCTGTTTGATTACAATCACGTGACCACCAGTGTAACTTAAAAAAATCTCAAACATGACATAACATGACCATATTTGTGCTGAAATATATAGGCCTCACCGTCCTCACCCGTCTATTTTTCGCCTCTGCAGTGAAAAGCTCAAAGAGCCTGGGAAGCCGCGGTAGCAATGCTTCTGTGGCATCGCCGGGCACCTGCAAGACATCTCTGGTGGGTGCTACTAACATCCCCAAGTCATCACCATTTTTACGGGTGGCAATAGTCATCCCCAAATGGTAGCTGTTTATGGCATTGGGTTTACCACATTATATAATTATAGAGTATATTGAAGATGTCTAAGTTAAACTATCCGTGTTCTGATTTTGCAGAACTATCCAATATACTGTAGATAAATCAAACAAAACATCATCCACTATCTACTGGAGGTAAACATGGGCAATAACGGTATTGCTCACCTTTGAATGTGTGGCTTGGAGTTTTTGGCCATAATTGTGACCTGTTTGCTGGGCTCCGGCATGGTAAATCACGGTCTGTGGGTTGCTGTTCAGCTACTCTGTCTGAAAAATGGAAGTCACATCCAAATAAATTCATTTAAAAAAACAGTCTCCCAAGGGTCAGTTTGCACTTCTGGCTGATTGTTTCAGGGGTAGTTGATGTTGAGATCACCTACTTTTGTGTTCTCAGAGATCTGCCCCTCTGCCGCCGAATTGGACTGCCCAGCAAATAGGATGATCAGTCCCACACAAATACCCAAGTTCTTTCAGAAATCCTAACCCATTCAGTATGATTTCAGTTAAAGTTAAAGTACGTATATAAATGTTGGATATTGATGGATATTGTTGGATCATGGAAACTCAACCCCCAAAAAAAGGCGGCCGATACTTTTTCCTAAGCCCATCTTATCAAAGGTCACCTTTTTGGGGCTCTACACCTCCGCACACTTGAGGGCTGCATCCAAGACCACCAGCAAAGCAAGGCGTTGTCGGTTGGGGAGACCTCGGTAAAGTGGCAAACTTGGCTGGTGAGGTAAAGTATAGAACCATCCAGGAAGACCTGGTTTTCCGTATCCTTGTCGGAATCTGGGGGTCACCTTTGTCCACCATCCCCACAGCTCGTTGGCATTTTCATCCCAACCATTGGAGTATGCCTTAAGTGCGATGAAACCAGACCTTTTGCTTGGTAATTCTTGTCTTGTACCATTTTTGCTTTAGTAAAACTCTTAAATTTGCTGGTTGAATGCTGCTTTTTAGCTGGTGGAATCCATTGGCTTTGTTTCAAAAGCCCCATTTTCCATTATGATCCCTTGGTTTTGGTGGCAGTATGGTGGCAGTCAATTCCCTGTCCGACTAGCCTTGGCGGTTACCGAAACTGGTCGACCCCCTTGGCCTCACCCGGCGCGCCAAGTTGCATGGCACCCCCCTGGCTGCGCCCTGCCCTTCACCCAGTAGACACAAGTCCGCCAAGGCGGACCAGCGGCGAAAGGCGTCGGTGCGCAGCCACAGGGCCTAGAGATTCTTTATGATTTTTTTGGGAGCCAAATACTGGGAAGACCTTGGGGGGTTCTGATCTTTCAAAGATTTGAATTTGATTGACTATGTGGCTCTCAGATGGTCTTCTAGCGGTTTTATCATATCATTTTCAAACAACTCAAATATGTCTGAAAACGGGACGTCAGCAAAAATTGCCGTTTGTTTCGACAGAAAAATGATGATGAACCATGAGATTTCGAGGCACCCTGTTTTCCGACAAATTCAAATTAAGCACTTGAATCAACTAAGATGAAACGATATTCTCAAGTTCTTAGCCTGAAACGTCTAGACAAGTGCCCTTGGGGTTCCAGAAGTTGTATGCTTAAATGAGCTTTAGCCAATCAAGATGGGGAGTTTTTTCGCAACCAACATGAGGATTTCAAACCAGCAAGAGGATTCAAATCAACCAACAGGGGGAAGCAAAAGGGCATTGAACACCCAAAATCCCATGAAATAATGGATGTCAGCAAGTCAGAATGACCCTGACAAACCAAATTGATCGAAATGGAATTGCAATCCCTAAACTCCAAACAAAATAAAAAGCAATCTATGACAATCCCTACAGAAACCATGGAGTTAGCGTTGGATCTATAAATTTTGGGGTTAACTTAGATCGGTCATGGAGTCAACTGGTTGGTCAGTGCATCAACATCCCAGTTCCGAGGGAGATACCCATTCACAACCAGTTCACTAACTTCACTAACTCCAGAAGTACTGGGGTATTCGATATTCAGGGAACGAATATACAAAAAGGGGCTGTTACCGTTACCCAAATAATATCGGGAAGTCTCCCAAGACCATCAGCTGCATTGATTTTCTTATTGATGCCCTAACCCCGTTGAAGGCCCAAGCAGAATAGTTGAGGAGCACCTGAAAGACATGCGATCCCCAATTTGGGACGCTTCATGATGATTCCATAAATGGGTGAGTCAAAACCCTGAACATCATCAGTTCGCCCAATAAAAACATGGAATCCCATGGGCACATTCCAACCTCCACAAAGCGTCGTGAGAGATGTAGCTGGTCGTTCTCCGGGAGGTAGCTGGTCAAAAAGTCTGCAACTGCCATTAAACCATGCCTCCGTGACATGGGACATTGAACATTGGATGATTTGGGGTCTGTTGTCGGAAGCTGTTTCGATGATCCAGCTTCTCCAAATGAACCATTGACATGGTAACGCCTCCACAATATGGACCTTGCTTTCCTTATCTTGACTAAAACCCCAAAGGGAAAGGCCACAAACATGTTGAACATCTGGCAACAAAAAATAACTGATTGGTGGTTTCAACCCCTCTGAAAAATATTAGTCAGTTGGGATGATGAAATTCCCAATACATGGAAAAATAAAAAATGTTCCAAACCACCAAACAGTTTTACATGGCCTTTATTCCCTGGGTTCATTGGGTTCACCCTACCTGCCTTGGGATACGAACGGATATGACACTCGGCTCAGCCCCATTCACAAACTGGATAACCCCTACTTACCCTATAGCTGGGATGTATATCATGAATAACATCAAGAAGAACTGACTTCGGACGGTGATCATCTTCAGCACCCACTGGGCGCACTCGGTGATGAAGTGCCGTTCCAGGTCGTCCCCTTCCTGGCGCGTCGCGACAGAAACCACGACTTGATGTAGAATGATGAGTCGCTTTTTTGGGGGATGCCCAAATACTTTAGATTTAACTGGTAGGAATTTGATGGAATGTTTCTATCTTCTGTGGGCTTGCTTTGTTTTATATGCTCGCAATATTCAGATTACGCGCTTGGACTGGAGCACGTCCAGCTGGAACTTTTCTAACAGATGGAACGGCGGAAGTTAGCCACAGTCTCGGCACGGAGGATTGACATATATGAGAGGAGCAAGCACCACAAAATCAACCACCTGTCAACAAAATTCACCAAGATGTTGAGACACAGTACTCAGTATATAATTAATGTCTCATTCATGGTATCCTTATCATGAATTTCTATCATGATGTCATGATGGTTTTTCTAGTATACAATTCATATTAATATTCATTTATTTTGAATCCATGTAATTACATCGTGTACATCGGATAGAAAGCAAAGAAGGCCGATTCAGCCTCCCCAGGTTGCTTTTTGGCGGCAATACCAAGGCCTCACCAGGTGCGTGCGCAGCATCTGCGGTGTTCAAAGATAAATGCAGCTTTCACAACATAAGTAGCCGGTCATAGTAGAGGTAGTATATTATTAATTAGTTAGTATATTATAAAAAAAAATATATATAGTTAGTATGGTTATAGTTTAGTATAATATGGTTTCAAACCCAAAGTCTGGTTACTATATAAGATTAGGTTTCAAGGGATTCTCTGCGCTCTGCCAGGTCTTTTTGTGACTCTGTCTGGTTCAGGAAGGAATACTTCTCCATGGATTGAATGCATTGGAACATGGGACCATTTTTGCCATACTGGGAACCCGGTAAGTACCGGAAACAAATCAGGCGCCGCTGTGAACCATCATCCTGGTACATGACTAAAATCAGCCTCCAGTTTTTGCGAACATTGTAATGGAAAATCGCCATTTCTGATAGGTAAATCATTTATAAATAAGCCATTTATCAATTTTCCTTAGCAATGTGAAATTGCCAGAGGGAATATCCCCAGCATATCCCATAAAATGGTCATAGTCATCATCCAACACATGGCTAAATCCCCAATTAAACGCAAGGTTGACAACATATCAGGTCAAGGTACTATTCCATGTACCTCATTATACCCATTATATGCCACAAATATCCCCATTATAGCAACCTCCAAAAGGACGATAGGAAAATAGAACATCTCGAAATGATGGGGAAAACATCATCGAACTACCATCCTGGAAACACTGTCTATCTTTTTGCAATGTGCCACATATATATATATATCATACATACATAATGTGATAGACCCAACAAATAAACCATCGCCAAAATCACCAATTTTATGGTTGTTATAACCCCTCCCCAAGTTCGGTAGGTTTATGGCCTTGGGTCTCCCACATCATATATATATATATTACCCAACTGTACTAATGGAGGCTACAGGCAGCCCGTCTGGCCTGGTTCTGGCAGCAAGTGCTGCTCCACAAAGAGGGCCGCTTCCACTCTGAGCAGGCCGTGGCTATCCTGCGGTGATTGTTGGAACCGGGGTTATCATTGGGTCTAGCAGTTTTACCAGCAACAATGGGGCTTTACATGGTTTAACCATCCTGAATTGCGTATGTATACATATATACAGGATAGATAGATCCAGTATAGATATTGAATGGGATTTACCCAGTAAAATGGGATCTTGATGGATATATCATGATCTATTGGAATCTGATAATTCTCACTGTGCAATCCCTTCCCCCGAATGAATAGATCCCAGGCCGGAATGGAAGTGCATTCCCAGAATCTCAAACGGACATGGCCGGACATGTCTAGGTAAAGCCATTGATTTCTGACACCAAAATCCTGCTGCTGCAGTTGGTACTTCTGTGGTTTCTTGGGGTGAATCCCCAGCAAGTGGTGAATAACCATAATGTAATCCACTTGCAAAAAGGTTTATAAGTTTTATATAGTTTTATTGTGTTATAAATGACCTATCAGGTACCATGTCTGAGATGCACATCCATCCGTGATTCCGTGATAGGATTGGTTCTCGTACATCCCTGACAATGCAGGATGTGTGTTCCATGGTCTAATTTTCACGTTGAATCCATCGTATGATTTGGTGCACTTAAATGAACCACTGGGTCTAATCCTTACGATCGGTCCAATTGAACCAGTCGCTGACTGGCTGCGACAGTTCCCCTCCACTCTTGAAAATCCAACTTGGGTTCATCTGGAAACAAGGTACCCCTAAAGTCCACTGTTGAATCATGTTTTGGTATCAGATTTGCATCGGGTACACATGGGTACACCCCTTTCGCAGACATACCCATTGGGAAAGGTCAGAACATGAGCATCAGTTCCAATGGATCATAATAATTTTCGCTACGAAACTAACCATTTTGGGGCCCCATTTTCAAACACCTCCATTTGGAACACCTGTGCCCCTCTTGCCCCGGCAATTCAGGCGCACCGGCGCCGTCAACGCGAGATTGGCCACCCGTGCGAAGTCGTCGTCGGAGAGCTGAGAAACCAAGACCGGGTGCCTGGTGGCACCACCACAAAAAAAACCTGTAGTTATGGGTCTTATGGTAGTAATCATAGTTATCATCTGAAGGATTAGTTTCTACCCATCCGAGGCTGGGGATTTCTATAAATTCATCACCCAACATTCATCATGGCAAACCCAACATAATCAACATAAAAATATATATAGAAAAGTGGGAAATCTGATACCTGGAAATATGGTTGGCAAATATCATCAATTGGACTATCATCATTTTCCATAAAATGTCCACTTGGATGTTGTACCCTGATCTATAACGCCACAAAAACAGGGGGCACCAAAGCGCCCGACACCTGAGGTGCCGCAACGCCGCCGCGCTGACGCGTGGCTCGCTGTCGCGGCTGCGCTCCGCCAGGTGACTTGCCGCCTCGCAAATTTTGGAGTATCTTCCCACCATTCCCAACCAGGAAAGAAATCAACTATCCATTGGTTGATCAGGATTAATAGTGACTAATAGTGATTAATAGTGATTAATAGTGATTAATAATGATTAATAGTGGTTAATAGTGGTTAATAGTGATTAATAATGATTAATAGTGACTCATAATGATTAATAGAAATGAATAGTGATTAAAAGTGGTTAATATTGATTAATAATGATTAATAGTGGTTATATAATAGTGATGATTAGTGATTAATAGTGATTAATACTGATTAATAATGATTAATACTGATTTAATAGTGGCTAATAGTGACTAATAGTGATTAATAGTGATTAATAGTAATTAATATTGATTAAAAGTGGTTAATCGTGAATAATAGTGATTAATAGCGGGAAATGGTTGTTTAACAATGAAAGATGAAGGTTTGGTGGGTGCACAATGGGGGAATTTGTGAGAATTACAGTACCATACTTGGAGGCGCAGTTAAAGTTACAAATAGGTATAACATGGTATAGCAAGTGCTTTAAAACCCCCAAAATTGGTAACTACCCGTAACTTCCATGCATAACTGGAACTGCACTTCCAAGTAGTAAACAGTTTGTAAGGGGCTATACCCCGCTTTCAAGTGGAAAACCGATGAAATGGTGACTTATTAGCCAAGGTTACTAACCGCTGCTGGGATGATCCTCCAAGCATCGGATTCAAATCGGGGTATAGGGATAGAAGTTTTTTTTGAGAGGGGTGTCACCAAAATTCATAAGGATTCAACACCCAAAATGGTGACCATCCCAATAATGGATGGCAAAACAATGGGTTTCTTATTTTTTTGTTGCTAAATAAGCCGTTAACAATTCACCATTAAGCCCCCCAAAAGAAAGAGTACCAATATGAGCCCGAAAATGAACGGATCCAATACTAAACAGCAGTTTCAAGAGAGGTATTTGACATTCGAGGGAACGGGAACGGATCCATGGTTTTTTTTTTTGGGCAGGCTTGTTGGCAAGCAACAACCGCTAATAAGGGTACATATTAAGCATCTATTATTGCGGGGAGACCTTTGCGGGGATGGTTAAATCCCAATGATATCATACTGATATAGATGCTTCATCAAGTTAGTTCAGTTGGTAGTACATTGGTTATACATATTTTTTGGAACTAGGGAATGAAACATACCCCACTTGCCGCTGACTAACTCCAAGGCGCATCTCAGTAAGGTATCTGAGATGCGGCTCGATTCATAGAATGTAGGATAGAATATCCAGATCATGGGATACTTCAACTTAGCCATCGTATGAAATACTCATGACTCTCTAGTGATACACAACACACTGAGTTGTAAAAGTTTTTACTATTGATCTAGTCTATCACTGATATGAATATGTGGCAAAGGGTTTAACATGGATGATATGGTATTGGTGTGATATCTAAACATGAAAATACATATATATATATATATATATATATTTGAAGATTTGGGTAGCATTGACAGAACATTGGGTTATAACATGTTATAGATTGATTGGTATGTCGTTTCGTTGATGGAGGAATATGCGGCTAGGGGATATGTGACATATTATTTGAAAATTTGCATATATAATTTGAGCTTTTAATATCCTATATCATGCTTATACAATAATTATACCATCTCATGAGGATTGAGACTATGGTTGCCCCAGCACAAATTTGATCATCGCAACGAAGCACTTTGAAAAACACAAATGGATACAAATGGCAAATAATGGCAATGCTTTGAACAGAAGCTCAGAATTTGCAGCAGCATAAAAACATGGACTTCATTTTTGTTAACCCCAGCTTTCACCGCCCAAATCATACCCCCAGCCGCGGCGGCCCAGTGCCTCTCGTACAAGAGCAGAGTCATCCAGGTCACCCTGCGGCCCCAAAAGGTTCTAGTCGTTGGGCCCCAATAGGTTTCTCTCGAAGTGGCTTATCTCCGCTCCTCCCCTGTGAGGAATTCAGAGATCCCCTTCGTTCATATATGTTTTGCCCACTTTGGTATGGTAGGGTACGGTAAACTGATTCAACTGCTTCCCACCCCAGAATGAGGAAGAGAACCACAAATGACGTCTCTTCTCCACTCCAATGGATATTGAATCCATGGCTCGCAAATTATCCCATTAAATCGCCATTGACTTTCTGGATCTCACCACTTGCACTCCGCCTCAAACCAAGCACCTGCAATTTCAATGGCTTGAAGTCTGACTTCTGGAGCTGGATCCTAAGCAAATCAAACCATCAGGGGGTCCTCACCAGCCTCAAAAGGACACGCGGAATAAGCATTGAATGAAATGCCCGAAAACTCGGTAGTGTCACAAACGGAACATGATTGAAATCTATTGAAGCTATACCCTAAGTCTCCGGACATGGTAATTTTAGTTTTAGAGTAAAATTACTGATATACAAAAAATAGTAGTAAAACAGAAACTTTTTTGAAAGTAAAAATCGTAAGTTAAAGATGTTAACCAAACAGCATCAATACCGCATCAAAACTGCATCCAAACTTCGTCAGAGCTTCTTCGCGTTTCATTCGGCTAGCTTGCAGAATTTTCATGTAACCCCCCAACTGCATTTGGTCCAGGTTATGTTATTTTTCTTTTTTTCGATGAGAGTGTCATCAGTTATTGCAATGCCTGCAAACACAGACAAATACAGATTGAGTGTTTTAAGCTTGGAAAAAATAGTTTGAGAGTTTTGACAAGTAAATTTGGTCGACTGTGTTATGAATTTCATTGTTCTTTCCCTGTCCAAAGTGCAGGAGCACAAAGGTGTTTTGCGAATTGAAAGATCCCTTTTAGAGAGACACCTTAGTCACTGAAGTCATAGGGGTTGGATGGTGAATTCATCCATGCCAACCATTGTTCATGTTCATAGTCACGGTGCAAGTCCTGGTAGTGCTCATTGTCCATGGCATAGCTTTTGTGAAACTTTTGTTCAGAGCTGCCAATGACCCCAAGTCCTTCGTGGAGAAGAGGTGAACCTGGAAGGAATCGTCCTTGTGCTGGAGAAGTTGTTCCAATGGACTCACGGGCCCTGTCAGTGACATTGTGGTGATGGCAGAGTCTCGACAAGGGCAAAAATTCGAGACTGCTTGAAAGTAAACTGCAACATTGGTTATCGCATAAGTATTCCAAATGCTACCCAAAGTGGTTGCAGCATCTCTAACCCATGTCACAGGTCTGACTTTTGTTTTCCATGTAGAGAAAACTGTTCTACAGGTAAATTTGAAATTTGCAAGTCCGCCATGCAAACAAAAAATGGTTGTTAGGATGAGTTTTGTTTCTGCTTTTAGAAAAACAGAAACATCTCACACGATATGACCGATGTACCACAAGGCTTAGCAAGTGAATTTGAACTTGGAACTATAAGATGTTTGTTCGTATTTCAGGTAAAGGTGGTACAGAACTCTTTTTTCTCCAAGCGTTGCGAAGCATTCTCTACACTGAGTAAAGATCCAAAAGGATACTAATATCTGACATCAAACTCAATGGTCTGTCACCCAAAAACCTGAAACGAGCACATATCGTTTCACGTAAAGCTACAGCAAGCTGAGGATTTTTTCTTTGCAAGGCTCAGGTCGTGCGTTTGGCGCGCACACGCAGTTGAGCTTCAACAGCTGCCAATTGCTCTTCCAAGGATTCTGCCTTTTACCTGCCTCTGCCATGATTGTGGAGTAGAGAGAGAGACCGTAACTTCTGCTCCGTTGGGTAGCTCCTGACACATCACACGGTCCATGCTGTTTACTTGCAAACAAACTAGACGACGGAATCTCCAAAAGAACCTCCACCAAGTCCTTGTGCCAAAATGGCAGGTGGCAGTTTGACCTTATCCAAACACATCTCCAACTGAGTCTGTTCGGCCGTGGACAACATTCGAAACACCCTGCCACGGATCTCAGAAGAAAGCCTCAAAACCCTCATCTGGTACAACAGGTTTCTCAAGTAGAGATCTATTCTGTCCACACCATCTTGTTCCTTCATCTTGTGATCGAACACTACCGCCTTCTCCTGCAAAAGTGTAACAACAGCTTTCTGCACTTTGCTTCCAAGTAATTTTGTGTTGGGGCAAACATCTAGAACGTCAAAAAGCAGCCCAGCGGTTTTCACCAACCAGGAGCCATGCACTGTCGCTTGCCATGTCGCTTGCAGAGGGCCGGAAGGTGGAGGACAAAGTAAAGCAAAAAGGTCAGTCGTCTTTTTGTACCTCAGGTAGTTGAACAAGAAGGCGTGGATGTCTTGAATTGAGATCGTCGGGTCTGCTACTAACCTGGGACGAGAAGATTGGTATCTTCTTCTTCTTCCACAGCAGCAGTTTGTCTTTCAGACAAAGCAGACGCCAAAAGTCTAAACACACCCCATTGAGCAAAATGCCCTGGCCAAAATGTCCACACCATCTGCAGAATCCAAGTAAAAAAAAACAAATAAATTGATATCAGGTAAATTGCAACAGAGCACAAGTAAAATTTCAGCTTTGTCACAAGTAAATAACAGCCAACAACTGCACAGCGCACTAGAACAAATCAAAAAAAATAGAAAAATACACAAGTGAACACATAACATGGTTAAAAAAACAATGCCAAAAAATAGTATTCCGAAAATTACTTCTACAAGCAAAAACCATTTACTTATATAAGTAAAAAATTACTTGATATAGTAAATAGTAAATAGTAAATTGATTTACAGTAATCTTGAACATATTGTTTACTACTAAATTGTAAAATTTACAGTAAAAAAAAGAGAACTAAAATTACCATATCCGGAGACTTAGGGTACCGAATTTGTGTTTTAAAAGCACACCAGGTTGCATGGTAGAATTTCCTGGTGACCAAACTACAATTCCAAAAATGACACTGGGGTCCCTGCATTCCAGTTCTCAATTGTCGGTGGCTGATAATCAAATAAAATCATCAAACCTGGAAAATGGAGGCTCATTTCTTCATCCGTTCTCCCAAAGAAAACATGGGTGTCTTCCACATCTCTATATCTCTTGAAAAAGAGCTACTAGGTGGCCCAGCGAAGAAGCCTTGGAGGATGCGCTCGGGTGTCCACAGGAACTTCAGTTGCATGTAGCGACCCAAGGCATTCAAGGTGAACCTGCGTGGATGCACAGTATGAGTTTTATCTATGGCAATGATTGGCACCGGTTTCTGGAAACATGGCTGGGAAATCCCCAAGCTAAATGGGCATTTGAATGAAAAACGTCCCGGGGAGTTTCCCTCGCGATGATTACCACAGGGTATAGTGGTAATTTCCTGCTCTCAATGATGCGACTTCTGTTCCCGCAAGCTTGTTCGCGCACTTCCTATTAACGGTTTATCAGGGAGCGGGCTGCTTCAAGGAATTGCGGGTCCCATCATTGGGACTACATGCCTTTTTGCACCTGGAAAGCCAGGAATAAAGGCTGAGAAGCGCTGTGTTGGTTTGCAATTTTTTACATGTTGGGGCAAAACCTTTTGAAACGCATGTTTGTATACTTGTTCTCGCAAGTAATGTCATCCCAGGACTACCGCAGGGATGGGAGGTAATTATCGCTTACAGCTGGAGTTGTTGATTCTTGATTGCGCGGAGCCCTCTAATCCACACACATTCTTAGCAATTGAAAAAGAGTATGCTATTTTGTTTGGGCTGGTACATGTGAAAACCCTATTTTAGGAGATGTTTAACATGTCATCACCCAGTCAGTTGTTTTTCCACAAAAGGGGCATATCTCAAAATCCAATATAACCCAACAGGTTCTCAATATGTTCCCCACTAATTCTTGATTGCCAATATGGGCACAAGTTAGCATTGGGGTATCCAAAAACGGATCCTGAACATGAAACAAATTGCACAACAAAACGAAGTGTGCACCGTTTTGTGGAGCTTAGAACCATCCCACGTTCAGGGTTGCTCCCAACTGCTCAAACAAACGGGGAAATTCACCAAATCTAGGTGTATAAAAACAACCCACCCCTGTGGCAATCATCTATGCTGAAACCCTGCATCTCATCCTGGGTGTGTCTGACAAGAATGTGCTACTCGCAGCTCCCATGATTTTGATTAATTAATCATACCCTCTGGTAAACTAACACAACTATGGAAAATCACAATTTGTTATGGGTAAATCAACTATAAATGGCTATTTTCAATAGCTATGTTAAATTACCAGAGGGTAATGTTCCCACATTTTTTCAAACCCATTTTGGGACCCCATCTCTTGAAGGCAACCGTGGGTGCACCTCCAGCCCCACCGCGCCTCCTCAGAATCGCAGCGGTGTCTTGGAGCCGTGGCAACAGAACTCGCTCCTGCATCTTTCCGACCTGGCGAAGTGGACCATCTATGATACAAGAAATATGTGGCGAATGTTTTTCCAGGAAACATATGGGGTTTGATTTGGTGGGATTTGTGAATTGGATTGATTGTTGCTCAATGTTGCTCAACAATTATATAAAGTGATTTCGTGATAACGGAGCACATATATAACTCATGATCGATGCACAGTCCAGCAGGGACGAGGGCCCCATTAGGCCATGATCCCAACCAATGGGAAACCTTTTCGAATGAAATTTGCGCGTAGTCTGCGTAAGGGCTGAGAAGAATGCTGAAAAAGGGAGCCGACAGTGAGAACTCTCTGTTCAAATCTGTTGCCATTCACCAAAAAGGCAGCACCCGGCCACAAATCCTACATTCACAAGATCGCCCGTGTAAAGTTTATAACCCCATCCACTGGCAGGTCAAGGTGATAATTCATATCCATATATATCCAGCATTAAGACCAACATGTAGCATAATAATAAGCCATCGCCAAACTTAGATAACCTGCAAAACATAATCTTAAAAGGTGCTAAAAACAAAGTGTACTAAACAAAGACGAATTGTTACTAAATCAATTATATCATATTATATCCCGTTTTATTCTCATGAAATGCTTTATACCCCTATGTTTGATGGTTTAACCCATATTGATTCATATAAGTATTTAAAAAAAGTGTTACATCCCCACTATATCCCCAAGATCGTTAATGAATTTAATCCCAGCCATGGTTGCTTGCATGGGTATATAGGTCAAAATTATGTATCCCAATCACAAGATGCTAAATATCTAAATACTAAACATCTAACAAAACCATCCAAAATCTCTGGTCCTGGGGCTTCACCATGGCTTCGCCCCCCAAAATTTTCCAACGGCCCGCCTCCAACTCGCCCCCCCGTGTCACCCGTTGCCTCCACGTCCATCTGCTGCGTCAATGCTTCCAGCTGCGCAGTACCTCGGCAGAGCCGCGCGAGGCGCGCGGCGGCGGCGGCATCACCTGCCGGTGCCCGTTGGTTGCTGGGGGAGACACCAACAATAGTTAAAATGTGGGGGTGGTTCATGTGGTCAAATCTTTGGTGATAAACATGTTCATTTTGATTTTGACTTACTTGATTGATTGACTGGTGTTACTTTTACAAGGTTGTATCTGTTCATGGTCAAAACAATCTTGGATTACTTATTAACATATGGTAAGATACCATGAAATACCGGTCAAATTATTGTATATAATTCTATAGTGTGTAACCGGTGGGCATCCAATTACAATCATCTGACTATCTGGGAGGATCATCCCACATTGATAAAATTTAGGCAGTTTTCCCCGTTTCACCTCCCCTTCACCAATCGATTTCCCGCTGACTTGAAAGCCGAAACCAACATTTCATCCTAAAACATCTTAAAACCATTTAGATCCAATATGTCGAAATCAGCTGAATCAAAATAATTGTGCCGCCGGAAAAAAAAGTTCACCTTTGGGACATGCGATGCTTTTCCCATGTTGAAACCATGATTTTGGCCGGTTGGGAACCACCATCCCAAATAACAACTATAAATGATACCAGCCAAATTGAGATAGGTTGGATATACAATTGATCAATGATATATAAATTTCCGCTATACATTGTCAAATCCCTGAATGTGTTGGCGCTTCTAAGCTCAAATGAAACCCGGCCGCAAATGGTTTGTTTGGAAGCAACCGGGAAAAAAAAACAACAGTTAAGGATGTCACCCGCCCTATCATCCCACACGCCACCCTGGTTGGGACTCAATTACACAACCCCTTATCAGACACAACACATGGTTCTATTTCATTTTTGCTCGTCCTATGCATCGAACCACAAATTTTCCACCCAAACCCACTAGCTCATCATAATCCTCCATATGCTTCTTGATTTACCAAATTTTCCCAAACTGCCATTTTTGGAAACCAATTTCCGAATTTCAATCACCCATTGTCGTCATCCAAAAATCCAAAAAATGCTGGCCGTGATAAGCGATAGTTTGCCCATAATTGCATGATTGGTATCCATTGAACTTTGCGAAGCCACCGAATAAACTTCATAACCAAAACTAAGGCCATTTCTCAATTTTCACAAAATACTTAATCGTTCAAACTATTAATGCCTGGCAAAAACGCCAAACAAACAATCCTTCCCTATCATTACAACCCCTTAACCATGGTAAGAACTAACCACGAATGATCCCAACGTGGCCTGCTGCATCCATTAGCGCTCGCTTCTGCGTTTCCAACTCCGCCAAGGCTCCACGCGCCACGTGGCGCTCCGCCAAGAGCGCCTGCAGGGCGCCCAGCGCTGCGGCACTGGCCGCCTGTGGGCCGCTGCGTGGGAGGTTGCTGTGGAAGGAGCGGTTTCTTGGAGTGAATGTGCTCAGGTAGGTGGAAATATTTGAATTTGATCAAGATGATTGAAGATTTTTGCAGGAGACAAAATTCATTATACACCTTAGCCGTATTGCACATCTGGAAAAATGTGGAAAATTGATCAACCCGCCAAATAAAGTGCATTGGGATAGTCACGGCCAAGAACGATCGAACTGTGCGGCCTCCCGGCTTTGCAGTTTTAACATATCCGGTAAATATTATATACAATTATAGTATACATACATTTCCTGAAGATGGCACAAATATACTCCCAATCTCAGATTGGAATAAACAGGGTTGAATCTTCTCAAAGCAGGCAGGGGCAAAGAGACGCAAACTGAACCGCCAACCGCGTTGTCCTAATTACAAACTCAGCGGCAACGAATCTGCAACATGTTGTAGCGCCTGGCGCAGCGATCGAAGTGGTGTGCCTGGCAGAAAATACAATGGCAAGTGAACAGGGCTGGAACCCATCTGCCGCGCAGACCATACAATTTGCCTCCGTCTACCTCGCAAAATTGGCCAAATGTAGGTAACAATTGGAAATATTGTAAACATCTTAAGGTTATGAAAAACATGCCAGCAACATGGATTTTGAGGAATGTTAGTTTTTGTTAACCCCATGCCCTTCTCTCATGAAAATTGTAGGATGGTGATGCCACGCCTGAGATCAACTGGAGCTGGGCAAGCAGTTCTAGCAAAGGATCGCCCAGACACTTGCCTGAGAAGCTTGAAGTTGCAAACCCAACGTGATCCTTGAAGTCGGAACAAACAAACATATTTGTCCAGCAATGTATCGAGATTGTTTTAAGTGTTGCAATGTTGATACTAAAATGCATGAGTTTCAAGACGCTGTGGGTATGCCAGCGGCCTATGGATCATTCTTTTCTCGGGATGGTCGCCGAGGGAAGAATATGGAAAACCATGTGGTTCTGGCCAGCAAATGGGAGTCTCCTCTAGCTTCGCCTTCAGCAGAATGTTACAATCTGTTTCTCGGCTTTGGGCAACAACATTAGCATTGTAGTTAAGTAGAATTGATAATATGTGCCCTCAAACGTGGTTCTGTTTTGGGCAACAACAGAGCCTCTTTGGTTTATGGTCGCTATACTTGCAAAAACAAAATCTGTCTGATGGCTCGACTGTTTTCAAAACGGACACCATGACCTTCATGAAGCCTGTGATGTCTTCATCCATAGACAATGTTTTTTTGCATTCAGGATTCTCTCAGCAGACACCAGCATGCCAACAACCACGCTATAGAGCTTGGATATCCGAGTCATCACCTGAGTCATGGCAATCCCTTTTTTTGAATCATCCCGCTGTAGGGAAATAGCCAAGGATAAACCACAACTTGGGGATGGTTTACTGGTGACCAAGCGACTCAGTCCATGGTCCGTCTATGTACCCTGAACGGTCACATCTTGAAATGTTACAGAAACTTGTTTCCAACACCTTCCTGCACCCAGTGATCCATGCGATCCCTATCAGTTTCAACCTGCCAGTTCAAATTTAATGGACCGCCCGGACGTCCATGGCATGTGTTTGGTATATCTTATGGCGCAAATATGCAACACATAAAATCAAAGCAGCATGACAGCGCACAGCCTAGCATCATATAGCCCCTTACTACAAGAACCCGTGCCTGACGAGCCCCCTGTGGCGGCAAGGTCCTTGGTGCAATGCGTATGGACTGAAAAATCAAAACTCCGGCGGCCAGAATTTTTGTTATTGTTTGATCATTATGGGTTCAAGTCATTTCAGGGGCAAAATTTAGTTGACCAAACAGTTGCAGTTTCCAATTCAACTATTTTCGGAGAACACACGAAATGCATGAATTTTAAGATCATAATAAGAAATGTATGTTTGGTGTTTTTGTTGAGCAAAACTTTTTTCGTTTGTATGTGGATTTGGATTGGCATTTATGCTGAAAACAAAACAAACAATATAAACAATAACTATAACAAACACATGCATCCAAAAGTGATATGAATGCTGCCAGCCAAAACGATTGTATAGGCAAACCGAAACACAAGAGTACACGACACCTCGCGAGCCACATGCCATCCTCGCTCACTATAAACTTATCATCTGATGGGTGTTGGGCTGGCCTAAACATGAAATCCTCTATTCTGGAATGATTTTGTCCTGCAACTGATGCTTCACCGATGACACGCCCCAGCCCAACCGTCTCCCTGCACCAAGCTTCTGCAACGTTCCCAGGAGCGGCGACGGTCCTTGCGCTCCAGGTTTCACAGCGCTATCAAGGAGCTTGGCCAAGGCCACTTGCAGGGCCAAAACTGTGGACCTGGGAACCAGGGAACCGTGGGGCGTTGGAGCGCATTATTGACATGATGAATAAATATACTTAAATATACATAATAATACTGTAAATAGGATGTACGCATAGCCCCCTAAAACAATGAAACGTAATTTGCATCTTTTCGGGTTTGCATTGGGTTTCTTATCCCATATCTTCGTGCATGGGTTGAAATTAATCAAAAATGGCTATGACCAGTTTACAACATCATATTATGTGCTTTTTTTGTCCGAAAACAGAGGCGCACAGCCCCAAATATGGGTGCGGGTTAGCGCGGGTCAAAAGGGGTACCGCAGTTTTTGGATGATGCCGATGCCGGTGCTGAAAATCGATCAACTGACATATATATATATATATATACAGTATATGTTTTTACTTTTTTTTCCTATGCATCCTTGCCTATCCGCTGCGAACCCGATGAATTTGGCAGTTGATTCGCTCGGTGTGTGACGCCGTGCGTTGTTTCTTTTGAGGGTAAAGCAAAGTGAAAATCCCGCCCACTATTGCACGAGGACCCGGATGGCTTCATGTGGGCAAAATCACGAAGGCACCGGGGTACCCGCATCACTTTGGGAACACCAAACGCATCACTTCAGGCAACATCCAGAAATCACACACTCCTCACACTTTGGACGGTCACTCTGGGCAACACGGAAAACATCACTTTGAGCAACACGGAAACCATCATTCTTCTTATCTAATTACTTGATTTAGCCATTTAGGGTTTGGTTGGGGGGTGGGGAGGGATCATTCGTCTTATAGAATTACTTGACTCAGCCATTTAGGGTTTAGTTGGGGGGCTGGGGAGGGATCATTCTTCTTATAGAATTACTTGACTCGGCCATTTAGGGTTTGGTTGTGGGTGTGGGCAGGGATCATCCTACTTTCTCTACTTACTTGACTCAGCCATTTAGGTTTGGTTGGGAGGTGGGGAGGGATCATTCTACTTACTTCATTAGTTGACTCAGCCATTTAGGGTTTGGTTGGGGGAGTGGGGAGGGATCATTCCATTTATATCATTACTTGACTAAGCAATTTAGGGTTTGGTTGGGGGGGTGGGGAGGGGTCATTCTTCTTATAGAATTACTTGGACTCAGCCATTTAGGGTTTGGTTGGGGGGTGGGGAGGTATCATTTTTTCATTTTCTAATTATTGATGATGATGATGATGATGATGATGGGGATGAGGTACCCCGAAGCGATGCATGAGGCGTAGCCCGAAGCGATGCACTCGACGTATCCCGAAGCGAGAGCCTTACCGGGAACCGGCAAGAAGTGGGTTACATTGCGGCATTGCCGGAGAAGTCCAATCTCAGTTTGAAGCAACAAACATGGGTGTATCGGGAAACCAGCGCTGATGGAAATATCATTGGCGCAACTCAAGACTATGTAGCGCAATCAGGTATTAATCAAATCATATATCAAATCGCAAAACATCTTGGGGTGTCTCAATGGCAGATTCTGTGGGATAAATCAACCAGCCGGATGGTTCCTGTGCGGGCTTGAGCATGCAGCAGGATCCACAAAAACTGCTGGACCTGTTCATGGCATACAAAGACACGTAGCAGCAACAGATACGAGGACACCAAGCCCCAAACGCTGCACCACGGAGCAGCTCATCTTCTTTTGGGAAAGGTGGAAACCTGAACAGTTCAGCGTCATGGCTCAAAGTGAAAATCTTTCAAGGGTCAACGGCAATCCCTGGACCATTCTGGACCCCATTAAGGCTCCTTCGTGAAACAGCGAGGCTTGGCAGGCGCCGAGGGACCGGAGGCCGCACACGGCGGCCAAGAGTTTTGGAGTTTGCGCATGTCTCCACGTGGATGCCAGTTCCTTTCATCTCGTCGCTTCCAGATGGCCCAAGTTTGAATCCCACACCCCTGTTTCCAACTCATAGACTCTGAAATCATTGTTTCTTGGGTGAATGTATCCTCTCAACCTCCAAGTCGGCAGGCTCTATAGTTGGATATTAGTTGGATGGTGGGATGGCATGTGGTTTCAATGCGTCTTAAACTTTCAAGATCTTGCAGGCGTTCCAAGAGAATACACCATCTCCCGCTGCTTTTTGTCGGCACCCGGTGTCCTCCAACCTCTTGGAATTTGTCCCTGAGATGGGGCGCCAAAGAGGTGACCGTGGGGCTGTGGGAATTTCCAGGCCTCAAAATTGACGAAAATTGGGCTGAATACAAGGATGTACCATGAATACCAGAATATAATCCTTCCAAAGACAAACATGTGGGACCAATTTGATCCAAGTTGTATAAAGTTAATTCTCTGCCCGTTTTTAATCTTTATTTTTTACATCCTTCATTTCTTACAGCATTTTTTGGGTTTTTCTGCACTCAAACCCTCTGCCAAGGCGTATCTTCATGTGGTCTTCAGTCAAACATTCCCGGACGTGTCCACCAGCAGCCCAGCCTGAAAGCAACGCGTCCAACAACTCAGAAGTGACATCTTCCGAAGCATCTTCCATACTTCGGCGGTGGTGGACAGTTCAGATCATTTGGTTGATGTAGTAATTAATCGGCACCGTGCTGTCATATGATGGTGTGCTACTTTTGATGTTTGTTTGTTTTATTTTGCCTGGCGATCAGATTACTTGTTAACTTAATGATCAATTTTGAGAAAAGATGCGCACAGATTCTCTTGGCATAGCCGCCCGTGGGCTCATAGCCTTGAAAAAATGCTACAAGTTTGACTCTCGAGCGGCTCTGTACATTCCGCTCTTGGAAAGTATGGAGCCCAAATTCAACAGTCACCAACGTGCCAGAGTGAATCTAACCTCGGCCTGTATATAAGCATGCCAATGTGTCTGTCCATTCCACTCTTCAATGCAAGTCTCACTTTGTCTTCCAATGTCCTTCCTTCCCCAAACTCACAAAGCACTGCAAAAACCAGTCGGCATACAATGGAATGACAACGAACAACATTTTAGCAAATGAAGTTTGGACGTTGGAAACGTTCTCGGCTGCATGTTCTTTTCAGTCCATGGGTTCGCATCATCCAATCTAGATGTCGCAAATGGCTTTTCTCTCAGGAAGATTTCTGCATGGTGACTGGTTCGTTCAGCACGCGTGTTGCTTCTGTGCCATGGGAAGCAGCAAGCCATCTCTGGCCGTGAGCGCCTTTGCCATGGCGTCTTTGCCGAAAAATATGCAAACAGAGGCAGCTGCAAGAAAGAAACAAACTTGGCGGAGGAGGGAAACCACCATGGAAGCTGGTTTGGAAGCTGGTTTGGTGGAACCAATCACCAACTCCTCCTCCACTGTCCAGGGAAGCTCTCGCTTGATTTCGGCAACAGGTGCATCAGATTGAACCACCTTGAGCATATCTTGCTTTGATGCTGACACTTTCTCGTGACGATTCTGCATCCATTCATCCGCTGTCATAGGATTGGTCTTCCCAGCAATGTGTGGGAATGGACACTCGCGCGGGTAGGCATGATGCAGCCACTGTGCAAACAAGCGGCCATGCAACGGCACCTTGCCATTGTGCTTCTTCGCAACTTCATGAAGTCTGTCCTTCAACTCTGGAGAAAGGGTGCGAGGAGCCTTCACAGAAGCAGAAGGCAAGTCCGACACAATGGCCAAGAGCCGGTCTGGCTCAACTTGAGGAGCTGCCACTTCACGTTCAAGATGACTCAAAAGCCCCTCACACTCATTGATGCAGCAAACAGAGTAGACACTGCTTGATGCAACACAATTTGAGTGCGAGTTCACATAGTTGGGAATCAGCACAGCAAGGTTGGAAGGGTCAGACTCATCCAAAGCTCCAAGTTCCCTCAAGTAGGCAATGCTCTCTGAGAATTGCCAGTTGCCTTTCAAAGCAGACCCATAGAAGTCTTTCAAGAGCACCCTGCCAGTGCTAGCATGCTCAATGTTGGTCAGGGACCTTTTCAAATCCCTGCACTCAGCATCCTGCCAGCGGCCATACCTTTCACCTATTTCCTCAACCACAGATGTGGCTGCATGGAAACTCAGGTTGCCTGGTGCGAAGTTGGGGTCAGCTGCCTTTGAAGCAAGCAAATTGGAGCGAACCTGCATGGTGAACTTCTGTGTCTCGTACCATCCGGGGTATGCCTCGACGACTGCAGCACGCTCCTCAGCCACAGTCAAAGCAGTCACTTCCTGCTTGCCCACCAAGAAGATAGTCATGTAGGTGTCAATGAGCTCCTGAAGTCTGGTTTCATCCACACGAGCATCTTCAGATAGATTGTGGGCTTGGTACACCACGGACAATCTGGAAACCGCCTCATCATGGATCAAGTGCTCGAGGGTAGCTGCAAGAACGGTAAGTTCATGCAACCCCAGCCCTTGACCTTTCAACCGGTCCTCGAACAGTGACAGGACAAAGGATGGAACGTGGTC